GTTTTCATTGATACACAGTATTTTATAGCAGTTACAAAAATTGTGGTTTGTGTTGTTTCTTACCTCCCCTGTTGTGGTGGTTTGAGTAAAAATGGCCCCCATAGGCTCATATATATTTAAATGCTTAGGAAGTGGCATGTTTCAAGATATGTGATTGCACTGTGACACCCTGAGACTGTGTTAACAAAGTTAACCTTGAATCGGGGGCAGAACCAGTGACTAGTTGACAAGAATTAGTCATAGAAAATACAGAGGAGCTCTTGGCCACCGGCCGACCTCGAAGATCTGCCCAGTGGAGGACAGCAGACAGTGTGGGCCTCTCCACCCTTTCCCCAAGCTTCGGAATAAAGTGGTTTGACTCAGGAAAAAAAGAAAATACGGAGGACCCAGGATATGGGCAGAAAGGCCCAGGAAGGAACTTGGAGACTGGTGGGCTTTTGTCATTCCCTTTTGGTCGGGGAAGTGTGGAGAGAAAGCTAACAGGTCACTCCTCTGCCGCGTCTTTGATCTATCAGGTTTTCACCCCTATACCTGACTCCCAAGTCCTTACAGGTAATAGAACAACTAAGATAATACAATCTTTGAAAAGATTAGGAGGTGTAGCCTTGCTGGAAGCAGTTTGTCGTGGGGTGGGCTTTGAGGTTTCAAAGGTCCAAGCCAGGTCCAGTGATTCTCTCTTCCTGCTGCCCATGGATCTGAACACAGAACTCTCAGCTCCTTCTCCAGCACCATGTCTGCCTGCATGCTGCCATGCTTCATGCCATGATGATAATGGACTAAACCTCTGAAACTGTAAGTCAGCCCCAGTTAAATGTTTTCTTTTATAAGAGTTGCCATGGTCATGGTGTCTCTTTACAGCAATAGAACATTGACTAAGACACCTGTCAAAATGAAAATTTCATCAAGGAAGGCACTTGGTTGGCCCACTTATAAAGTGACTAGAAAGACTACGCTGAGTTCTAACATTTCCTGTCACCATAATGGCTTTATCCAAGGAACATAAGCTCCTTGGTCTTACAAATAAACTAAAAGTCAACCACTAGGCTTGAGGGCACAGGTCTGTAATCCTAACACTTGGGAGGTATAGGCCAGAGGGTCAGGAATCCAAGGTCATCCTCAGCTACATCGTAAGTATGATGCAAGCCTGGGTTACATGAGACCTTGTCTCAAAAGTAAAAATTAAAAGGAGAAGAAAGAAGGTGATGAAGAGGAAGAGGAGAAAAAGAAAAAGAAACAACAACAAAAACCTCGTCTTGGATTCACTGCTAGCCTTCAGGTTGAAGGGACATCCTTGAACACAGAGGTCAAAGTTCCTTGGGACCAGAGCTGAAGCAGGAAAACCTCACCTGTGGTACCTCAACCGTCTGGCTGTCTGGAAGCTGAGTGGGAACGAGCCTGACTGCAGAAAGTCTAAGGGGTCCCATCACAGATGGGAAGATTTCCATCTGCACTGTCCCCGGGTCTTCCCCGTGAAGAACAAAGCCAAACTTCTTTATCCTTCCAAGAGAGGGGGAGGTAGATATTGCTAGGCCCAGGGCATCCTCTTCTCCTTCAAGGAAGCCTGCCTTTAGGCCAATCTGTTTCTCTAGAATCAAGCCAGTTGAAGAGAAGAGGAATATCCAACTCCACACACATCCCTCTAGACTTTCAGTCTTTAGACCAATGACATGGGAAGGGTCAAGAAGCCCTTGGGAAAGTCACAGCCTGGGGCACGGGCTCAGTAAACCCTGGGGCCTCATCACAGGGCTGCCCAGGCTTCCCTTCCACACACACGTCACAGTGGGCTCCTGCATGGCAGCAGAGATGGCGGCTGAAAGATTGTAGCCCTCAGGTTCTATCTGGGAAGGAGTATCTGGGGAAATCCACAGAAGAGGCAACAACATACAGAGCCTAACCCCTGGCCAGCTAAGCGGAAAGCCTGACAGTAAAGGCCTGTTTTCCTCAGTCCCTTCGCCTGATACATCAACGTCTGCCTTTCATCAAACAATTTCAAGACCTGCAATTAGTAAAAGCCAAAAGGTAGATTCTGGAGGAACACAGCAGCTATCAGAAGCAGACTCGTGTGAGGCAGGTGTATACAAATAATCAGACCAGGAATTTAAAACAACTTCCATAAATACACCAAGGACTCTACAGGAGCACATGGGCATGTGGGGACAGATGGGTGATATAAACAGAAATGGAAACACTACGGAAAATTCTAAAGGAAAGGCAGAAAGAAAATATAACGCAGAAGTGAGGAATGTCTTTGAAGGGTCATCAGTAGATTGGATGATGCTAAGCAAAGTATCCATGAGCCTCGAGAAATAAACAGGGGCTGCTGGGAAGGGGGCTGTGCTGGGAAGTGCTGGCTCTGTAAGCATGAGGAACTGAGCGGAATCCCCAGCACCTGTATAGAAAACTAGATGCAGTGGCTTGTACTCCTAGTGCAGGGGAAGTGGAGACAGGAAGATCCTACACACACACACACACACACACACACACACCCTGAAGACTAGATAACACTATAGACCAAGTGTGCAGCTTGGTGGCACTTTGTACACTCAGCATGCATGGAGCCATCACCAAGAAAAAAACAAGAAGTAGCAACAGAAAACAAACAAAAAAGCAGATGAGGGGGTCAGAATGTCTAAGAACTGTGTGTCAGTCATAGAACACGTCTGTGACAGATGTGTAATGGGATGATCAAGGGCACACAGAAGTACTTGAAGTGATAACAGTTAAGATCTTCCCAAAAGACAGGTACCCAACAATAATCCAGAGAACTCGAAGAACTCCAAGAGGGGGAGAGGAGGAGGGGCCATGCCTATTTATGTCACATTTAAAGCACAGAAAGTCCAATATACAGGAACCAACGTAGGGGGTCTGTCAGCAAAGGAAGGGATACAGAGGATGTGGTAAATATGCACAATGGAAGTTTATTCAGGCAGAAAGAACGTTAATTATGTCACTTGCAAGAAAATGGTTGCAACTGGCTATTACCATATTAAGCAGATTAATTCTGTCTCAAAAAGACAAACATTGCATATTTTTCTGAATTCTAGATTTTATATAGGTACATGAAGTCTTGCATGTGTATTTGACATAAAAATAGAAGTAAAATTGTCTAAAAGAATAAAGGGGATTCATGGAAGTGAAGAGGGGAGAGAAAAGGGAGACGGGATAATGTGCTCAAAATATAACTCGTGTGGAAATGGCCTTATGAAACTCGGCACTTTAAACATCGAATACAAAAATCTTTAAAGAAGGCAGTGAAAATGCCGGGCGGCGGTGGCACACGCCTTTAAACCCAGCACTCGGGAGGCAGAGCCAGGTGGATCTCTGTGAGTTCAAGGCCAGCCTGGTCTACACAGCAAGTTCCAGGACAGTCAAAGCTACACAGAGAAACCCTGTCTTGAAAAACCAAACACATACACACACACACACACACACACACACACACACATACACACACACACACACACAAAAAAAAAAAAAAAAAAAAGAAAACAAGAAGGCAGTGAAAAAAGACAGAGTAAAGAAAATGCTCTTGTCTACAAAGAGCAAGGATGAGAACTCCATGCAGAAACCATGCAAGCAAGAGTGGGGTGAAATAGTCCAAAAGGATGAAAACACCAACAATATTCAGTAGCCTGCACACTCATCCCTCTAGCATGAAAAATAAAGACTTCCTCACACTCAAAAGCAGAAGGAAATCCTCCCTAGTAAACCTGACTAGCAGGAGATATTTAAAATTCTTCTCAGAGAAAAGAAAGGATAGAGACCAGAAGCTGAGAGCTACGTAAAGGAAGATTGCTAAAGAAGCATGAGTGAATATAAAATACAGGGATCCCCAGCACTCCCTCAGGAAATCTACTCCACCCACCCAGCCCCCATCCCAGTCTACGCCAGCATCCCTTCAAATGTGCTGGACTCTGCTGTACTACCTGCTGTACACAGCAGTAGAACAGCAGGTAGCTATGTACCCCCAGCACCAGGCCTGCAAGGTACCCAAAATTGGATGGATGGATGGATGGATGGATGGATGGATGGATGGATGGATAGATGGATGGATGCATGGATGGATGGTTGCATGGATGGATGAGGGAGGGAAGGAGAGGGAGGGGGAGGGAAGGAGGGAGGGAGGGAGGGAGGGAGGGAGGAAGGGAGAAATGGCAAAGCATCCACACCAACATTAAGGCTGGTTGGTGATAAGATGTCTCTTTATTAGCACTTCAGCAAGAAGATTCCAGTATCATCATTGGTGGTAACCAAGGGCTCAGCCTCTATAGTCTTTCTGCTAAAGTCTGGTCACCCTTCAGGTCAAACACAAGGTGGATCCTTTTTGGACACAGGCTGTTCATTGATTCCGGAGGCCTTCAACCTGGGAATCAGAGATGTGCTCCGTGAGCGCTCGTGGAAGTGTTCAGCCAGCTGAAGCCAGGATCTGCTCCCCATCTTCACTTACAAGTTCCCTACTTTCTGTACAAGGGTTGTCTGGATCAATGAGAACCCTTGACAAAACACGCCCTGGGCAGGAGCTGTCATACAGGCAGCACTGAATAAATGCTAGCATTGTGTTTTGTGCTGCTTTTTAAGCTTCCAGCTATGTGTCAACCATGTCTTTCATCCCCACCCCCACAGCAGTTACCAGGGCATCTCACTTGGACAGGGCACAGTGGCTGCTTCAACCATGGTCCTTGTTTTGGGATGGTTCCACCCCCAGCCTTCCACTTCCCAGAACTGATTCAGCATTCAGTTATGGGTACTGCCATGTGTGAAGCACAAGGAGAGGATGTATGGCCAAAAGTCCCTGCTTGTGGTAGGTTCAAATTCCATACACCCTCACTCCTGCTAAGACTCTGTGTCTCAAAGCAGAGTTAGGACAGCAACATCCACTCCCCACCCCTCACAGACCCCTCACTCAGGGAAATGTAAAGCTCCCCATGCTAGGTCTCCCTTCCACTGCCAAGGCAAGACACCCTATCCACCCAGACCATTTACCTATGGGTCTCCTCACCTTAGCAGTCTGAGCAAGAAGTTCTGAAGCTTGGGTCATTATATGAGTCACACATGAGGTGAGACACGCTGCAGAGGACAGAGGAGAACAGCAAGATGGGAAAGAGCCTACCATCAGAACCTGCTTAGACCTAATACCCAAACCACAGCACAGGGCATGAGCTGGGTGGAAAGCACAGGCCTGAGCCTGTATAATCACTGCGTGTAAACTTAATTGAAGTCCAGGAAAGAAGCCCTCAGCCTGGAGCCATGGCAGGCAGGCACCAAAGCTGAAAAGGCCACCACAATGTGGATCACAAAGGACAGAAGCCCTGGGAGCTATATGTTCCCACTCATGTTAGAGCCAACAGATGATTGGAATGGTCAGCTAACTCTGACGTCATCTCCACCCACATGGACCCAGGTAGGTATACAAGGCACCTCATCTCAGGAACTTACCTTCGTCTCACTTCATCTATTCGGTCCTGCATGACATCTTCTATCATTTCACTTGGTACTTGGAAGATGCGGGTGTGGCTGGAAAATACCATGACCACGTGAGATTTTGAGTTGCTTTTCATAATGGCTAAGCCTAGCAGGGCTACTGAGATTGGGACTATAGGAACAGTAACAGTTAACTCCAGATCCATGAGCCTGAGAGCCTACCCCTGACTCTACCGTTTCTTAAATAACAAAGTGCCTCTCAGTCACCCAGCCATTGTGTGACAGCAAAGTGTTCCAAGGAGATACAGGGAAAGAGAAGCTGGCTGCCAGCAGGGTGATGGAGGTGTGGAACTCCCCCTTCCAAATTCCTCTCTCGTCTCATGATATACTCTTAGGATTACCATGGCACAGCACTACAATTTAGCACTGTGGGCCTTACTTCTCTGTGCTAACATTGCCTTTCCCTCTCTAGTCTACTTCCTGTTTTTTCTCCTGTCACTTCCCACTCCTCCCCTCCAGAGTCCGGTAGCCCACCAAATAACGCCCTGCATTGTCTATGGTGCCCTGTTATGTTTGAGACACAAATTCTGTCTGGCCTCCCCCTCTGCCCACAGAGAGAGGAGGGATATGATTGTGATTACAGTTCCTACCAGAAGGAACCAGTTGGAGCCCACAGAAGGAGATGAAGCAGGCAAGGCTGACTGTTCCCACCCTAGGGGTAAGGGGCTCCTCAGAAAACAGGGGCCTCGGCACTAGGATGCCCAGGCTACACAGGCTCTCCTTTTCTCTGCAGTTCCCCATTTCTCTGAGAATAGTACCCCCATTAAAGAGCCATTCTGAGCAAGCAGCCCCCTGGAGATCTTCCTGAGATGATCTGGCAGCAATAGCTAATACATGTGCAGCCTGGGCCTCCAGTTGCACCCTCAGACCCTCCTCCAGGCCTCCCTAACCCTACCTGTCTGCTTAGCGTATGTCCATGAAATGGGGGGGGCTGTGCTTTGCTCTTTTTTCCCCCCTGCAGACCAGCTAGCAAGTACAGGGCAATGCATGCACACCCACTAGAAGAGTGAAGGGCCAGTGCGGCTTCGTGAAAGGGGGTCACCCTGACCACCTACTTAGCAGAACTATGAAGAAAATTCCAGAATCAGTGCATTATGGGAAAGAGCAGATTGTTCATTTCCAATCTCCACTGAAAATTCAGAATGGAAGAGTTATACATAGATACACCACGGATGCTTCACACCTGCCTCAAACATCTTAAACTACTTCTATGGCCAAGGTTGAAGCAAGGTAGGAAGACCAGGTTGGTATGGTCCAAAACCGAGGAGAGTAATGTTTGTAACTCCAGAGTCCATCCAAATTGAGCAAGGAAAAGCTGGGATTGCAGTCAATAATGCTAAGGAGCCTCAGTGGGTTTCTAGAGAAAAATCTCTTCTCTGGGGGGCTCTGAAATCCCACCATCGGTTATCCCTCCCTAGAAGAGTCAGTGCATACTTGAATACATTGTCTCTGGCGAAGGAAACTGGTGAATACCCAAGTCCTGAAGCGAAACTAAGCTCGCTGAGAAGTGCGGCTTCCTCAAGGGAAGCGCAAAGCTGACAACAGAAGCAGCAGCGAGGGGAAGGAGGGAAGAACAAGCCCTTTTCACACGTGGGTTAGTTCAAGGAAGGATGGGATGATCGGGCCCAAACACTGATGGATTCAGGAACACACAGAAAATAGGAGGACTGGGGTGACTTCAGACCCGCCTCTCCCCCACACCCGCTTCCTCTCCCCCATTCACCTCCCCCTCCCCACCCGTGCCTCTCCACCCCCTGCCCCTAAAGTCTCAGCATCTTCCCATCTTCAGGACCAAGAAAGGCTGTGAGAACGGCCTGCGCCAAGGTGGCAGGAAGGTGACAACATAGCTTTGTCACACAATTCCTGCCTCTGGTGCTGCGAGACCTCTGCACTGCAAAGTCGCAGAGGAGGGCTTCGGCTTTTGCGTTTTAAGAGCTTATTTTCTTTTCGCTCTTTAAAGTGCTGCCACTTGTGAACAATTCAAGTGCAAAAATAACGGGAATCTGAAACACATTCAGAAGCATTTAGGAAGTGGAGAGCAAGCCCAGTCCCCCAACTGCAGAAGTCATTTTAAAATGTACGACTGTGGGGAGGGGCTGGGTCCTGCCTCAGCTGAATGTACCAGGCTTAGCTGCCCCCCCATAGGAGAACTTACCCTGTTGGAGGAGGGGAGGAGGGGTGGGGAGGGAAGATGGGGGGATCAGGAGGAGGGATGAGAGGGGGATCTGTGGTTGGCATGTAAAATGAATTAAAAAAAAAAACTTAAAAAAAAATATATATGAATGAGCTAAGCTTTCAAGATAGCAAGAATATTCCCTTAAGTCCCCAAAGCATGACTGAGGAATTTCTCTGCCAAAGGAGGTGGCATCTCTAGATGTTTGATCCAGCCGGGGACCCTGGAGAGGGCCTGGTGCCTTCTCAGTAGGCTGCCCTGCTCCCTGGGTACTGTACCTCCATCTTATAAACTGGATCCTTGTTCTCTCCTCCAGGACTTCCTGACTAGGGTCTGATAACATATCACACTTGGAGAGAGGATGCTTCACCTAGGAAACCCAGATTGAATACGTGTGGTTATTAGCCAATGTGGACACCCACAGCTGAAATATGCTCTTTGCCCAGGGTCCCTCACCTCACGCTGTCACCCTCACTTTCCCACAAACTCCCAGTTACCACATCTCTGGTCACATGTATGTCGTGTCCATGAGTGGGAGGGATGTTGGTAGACATCTTCTCCTTTATGCTCCGGGAAGCCTCTTCTTCCGTCTGAAAGGTGAATAGTTTCCCTCTTGAAGTGCCTGGCTCCATCTGATCTCTCTCTAGTCCCCCTCTTCTCTTGCCTCCCCTGTGCTCCTCCCATCACAACACAACACACACACCACTCTCACTCCATTACTCCCAGCTTCTGCACAAAGCACCTCCATCACTATCCCTCTATGAATCTCTGGGACCTCACCTAAGCCTGTGGCCCTATCCCACGGTACTTCCAGTACTGCCTTGAACAGAATTCCCTCCTCTAGGATGTTTGGTAAGTCAGGAAGTAGTGATGCCAGCACTTCTCTTACCAACACAAAACCCCACATCCTCTCGAACATTAGAATGAATTAAACTCAACTCCAGGCAGGGAATTTGGTAATAAACTTGAGTTTCTCAGTTGTATAGAGAATGGAGTCCTAATTCCTGTCCCCTATTGATACCTGCACTCTAGAACTTTGGGGACTGAGTCATAAAGGAATTCACTCACTTTGTTCAACCAATGCTGGACTATGGATACAGCTTCACTTTCCACAACTTCAATGTCCTGGAACAAATTGGTTAAGATGATGACCTCAGAAACGCAAGAGACCCACCCTCCCCACTCCCACCCCCACCACTGCCATCCAATGTGATATGATGTGTGGTGTCTGCACCCCACAGGAGTGCAGACAGAGCGAAGAGGGAGTAGGTACCGCTCCATGTGGCCACCATCACCCACCGAGTTTGTCTTTGGTGGGAAGGGTAGCCCTACAGTTTTCCGGGCGAAGATGTACACAATCCATGTTGTAATGATCATCTTCAGGTTTACAGAGGGCCTTCTTGGCTCCCTCCTTCCATGGAAGCTGCCCGAGAACTCCTATGGAATAGGAAGGTTGTGGAAGGGAAGTACCCTCTGATTGGTTAGCAAGTGATGATGTGACAATGACCTCCTTCAACTTCCAAGGTCAGAGTGCAGATGGAAAAGAGGGGTTTGAAGAGTTCTTCCTTATGACAGCTCAGAGAAGGGGGTGCATAGGAGATGAAGATAAACTATGCCCAGTGAAATCCATGGGGGAGATACAAAGGCGATTACCTAGAGCATAGACAGAAAGTCTCAAGGTGGCTCTCTATCTTAAGCAATGCTAAGTAAAATTTTTCAAAAGAAATAAAAATATTTTACAAATCAAAAGAAAAAATATGGTTGAAGCATCTGAACCTTTTAGACATCCAGTCAGACCAGTGTCATGGTTATTTCTTAATCATCTCTTATGTGCAAGGGGAAATGAAATTGTTATCCACCTCAAATCGCCCAGACAAAGAAGCAAATGTCAATTAGGGATAGTTTAATTTTTTTGCCTGTCCTCACTACGCACACAACTCAGATCACTGAAAAGCGGTTCAGGGCCTGAGGATCCGGCTCCGTCAGTAAAGTACTTGCTTTGCAAGCATGAGGACCGTTTGATCCCCAGAACCCAAAAAGTGTGTGTGTGTGTGTGTGTGTGTGTGTGTGTGTGTGTGTGTGTGTGTGTGTGTGTGTAAAAGTAGCTGTGTCCCACGGGGTACTCAGAAATTATGACAGCTTCCACTGTGTCTATCCACCAACCTCAGAATGGCTACCAAAACAGAGGTAAAAAGCACAGCAGGGAAGCCAGGCAGCCATTAGCGGCTTAAGAACTGCTGCTCCAGAAGACCTCAGACCAACACTCATCATGTGAACACAGCCTAAACCAGCAGGTAAGGGGTGAGGCTGGCGAGATAGCTCAGAGGTTGAGAGCACTTGCTGCTCTTCCAAGGGACTCAGCTCCCAGCACCCACATCAGCTACTCAGAGCCACCTGTAACTCCAGCTCCAGGAGACCCAACACCTCTGGTCTTGAAGGGCACCTGTGCTGGCTGATTTTATGTCAATTGGACATAAGCTAATGTCATCTGAGAAGAGGGAACCTCAACTGAGAAAATGCCCCCACCAGACTGGCCTATGGACAAGCAAGCCTGTGGGGTAGTTTCTTGAGTGATGGTTCATGTGGGAGGACCCATAGATGACATTGTGGATGGTGCCACCCCTGGGTTGGTGGCCCTGGATGCTGTAAGAAAGGAGGCTGAGCAAGTCAGTAAGCAGCACTCTCTGTGGCCTCTACTTCAGTTCCTGCCTCCAGGTTCTTGGCCTGCTCTAGTTCCTTCTCTTCAGTAATAGATTGTGATGTGGAACTGTAAGCTGAAATAAACCCTTTCCTCCACAGGTTGCTTTTGGTCATAGTGTTGCATAACAGCAACAGCAAGCCTAAGTAAGTCAGCACCTGCACTCATGTGTACATACCCCACCACCACCACCACACACACACTTTAAAATAATAAAAATAAATATTTAAAATAGCAGATGGAGTGGTTTGCCTGAAACCCTGGGCCCATTAATGTGCCATAGCGATTATGTGCTCATAAGTCTTCAAATAACTGTTTAAACAGTAAAACATCGGTATAACTCAAAACCCAAAAGTACATGAAAAGATTCATTCAGAGCTTTATCTCTTCCATCAATCCTTCAGCCTTCTTCCAACTCATTTCAGAAGTCATTTTTCAATAGTTTCTAAGATACATATCCTGTGTTTATGCTGTCAGAATCAAGCAGACAAATCCATCTTTGCTTTTTTACTATTATACTAAACACCCATTTAGCAAATTCCATAAATATATGTAAAAAAAAGAAAAAGAAAAAGAAAGAAAATATGCCTCCTCACCCAGTTGCAGATCAAGACACTTAAAAGGTGTCTAATACCCAGCAGGTGTCCAGCCGGATCCCCCACACAGCTGCTCACCTCTGCTGCCACAGAGAGGATCTCAGCCTTGCTTATCTGCTTCCTGGCTCTGTAGTTTTGTTTTTATCGGACATTCTGTACACATGAAAGCAAATCATGTCAGACCTGACTTGGGTTTTCACAGTGCAACATTCGCCATAGATTCTTTCCTTTCCCTACAGAATATTACTCCTTCATACAGATATACAGCATTTTGTTTATAACTTGTCTAGTTGACAAGCAGATAGATATCTCAAGTCTAGGGATATCTATACAAATAAGCCTTCAAAGAACATTTGCAAAAAGAAAATAGAGTAAACATGTTTCTTTTTTTTTTTTTTTTTTTTTTGGATAACACTCTAAGAGCAAATTGGTAATTTCATGTTTAATTTTTTTCCTTTTTTTTCCTTGCAGTGCTGGAAATGGATCTTAGGGCATAGTGCATGCTGGGTAAGTACTCTACCACTGAAATGCACCCCTGGTGCATTTTTTTCTTTTTTTTTTTTTTTTTGCTTAGGAGTTAATTGAGATATAATTCACTTTCAAAAAAATCACCAATTTAACACGTACAATTAAATGGTTTGTAATGTGCTCACAGAGATGTGTACCCATTACTTCAGTCCATTTTTACCAAATTTTGCCACCTCAAAAAAGAAACTCTTTGCTTTTAGAAGTTAAACCATTTCTCTCACGCACTTGTCCTTAGTCCCAGGCATCCGTTAATCTATTTTCTGTCCCTACAGTTTTGCTTATTCTGGACATATCACATGGATATATCTGTTCTTTAGTGACTGACATCTGTAACTTAACATGATGAGGGTCATTCATCTCTTCCACAAACACATATTGTAGCATATATCAGTAATTCATTGTCTAGATATGCTACATCTTGTTTATCCATTAACTGATGGACACTGGCTGGGATTGTTTCTATGTGTCAATAGGAAAAGTGTTACTGTGAACATTTGTATACACTGCTTTATATAAACCTGTTTTGAGTTCTCCTTGGCTTATACCTCTCATCATAATTGCTGGGTTGTATGGCAACCTTGTGTTTAAGATTTTGAAAGACTGTTAAAACTACTTTCTAAATGGCTGTATCACTCTACCTTCCCATGAACAATACATGAGGGATCTGATTTTTCCACATTCTTTGCCAATGTCATTATTATCCATCATTCTGGCATCAAACATACTAATGAGTATGAAATAGTATCTCATTATGGTTTAGATTTGTATCTCCCAAATGATTAATGACACTAGCCATCTTTTCCTGTGCCTCTTAGCTTCATGTGTATCTTCCTTGGAAATTTGTCTCCTTAAATACTTGATCATTTTGTAATTGGATTATCTTTTTATGTGATAGATGTAAGAGTTTCTTACATATCCTTCATACAAATATCAGGTAAGTGATCAGCAAATACTTTCATTCTATGAACTGTCTTTTCCCTTCTTTGTTGGTGTCATATAAAGCAGAGATTTTCTGAATATTTTATTAAGTTGGACTTACCTGTTCTTACTTTTGTTGCTCATGAAATCATCATCATGAGCATGAAGATTTACTCCTATTTTCCTTCAGACAGTAAGGGAGTTGCGGGTCCTGTTTTGAGATCACCTTTGTACAAAGTGTCCAGATTCATTTCTGTGGGTGGATATAGAGTTGTCTCCCACTATTTATTACAAAGAACATCCTTTGTATATTGGGCAATCTTGGCAACCTTGTCAGAAATCAATTAGCCCTAAATTTAAATTTTTAGTCCAGACTGTTAATGGACCTGATTGTCTGTTCTTACTTCAACACCACATGTTCTTAATTACTACAGCTTTTTAAGGTTTTGTCATTGCTGGTGTAAAACGTTTTCAAACTTTTTTTTAAACTTATTCTTTTTGGTCAGCATTTCCTTAACACCAGAGCTAAAGACAACAAAAAGCAAGAAACCTAGAGACTAAAATCCTTTCAGAATATTAACAGAAAGATCCTTTTTTGTTTTTTGAAAAGGGCATATATGGTGGAACATGCCTGTAACACAAGCACTTAGGAAGTGGAGACAGGAAGATCATGAGTTCAATGCCAATTTGAGCTATATAGCAAGACACTGTCTCAAAAAATAAAATTCTTAATGACGGATAGCAAACTAAACAGCATATTCAAAAGATTATACACCGTGACTAAGTGGAGAGAATTTCCTCTTGAATTTTATGATTAGCCTATCAATTTCTACAGAAACAAAATCCTGCTGGCATGTAATCAATGGTTTCATTGAATCTGACTGCCAATTTGGAGATATTGTGGTGTCAATAATATTTTGAAAATGGAGAGTCTTTCTAGTTATTTAGATCTTAATTTCTTTTAACAAAGTTCTGTGGGTTTTCAGGGATTGATTTTGCACTGTTTGTTCTTTTTAAATACTATCTTAAACTGAACACTTAATTTCATTTTGGAATTTTTCATTGCTAGTGTATGAAAAAGTAGAGTAGGTTTTTTAAGTGTATATGAGTGTGGTGTGCATGAGTACATGTGTGTTCAAATGTATGATTGCATGTGTGTCTTCCCAAATAGACATTGTATGTCTTCCTTAATCACTCTCCACTTTATTTACTGAGGTAGAGCCTCTCACCTCAACTCTCTAATTCCAGCCTAGCCAGCTCATCCTAAGGATCCCTCGTCTCTTTCTTTTCCATCTTGCAGGGCTTGGATTATAAGCAGATCCCATACCTGGACTGGCTTCTTTGGGTTCTGGTTATCATAATTCTGCTCCACATATAGCAAGGGCTGTATCCACTGAGCCATCTTCCAGCCCCTCAGTGGGTTGTTAAATAATGATCTTGCATCCTGCAACTTCTCTAAACCCAATGTAAATGTTCTTAGTGGTTTTCCTTAGAATGTTCTATGTACCAGATCATGTCTTCTGCAAATACAGATGATTTTCCTCCCCCTTTTCCAATCTTGATACATTTCATTTCTTTTTCTTGTCTGATTTCCCTGGTTATACATTATCAAATAGATCTAGAGAGAAAGGACATCA